CTGGGTTTCTATTAAAAGCTTTACGAACTGCCGTTAAACCAGTAGTGTTATCGAAATGTCGATAGAAATTAAAATAGCATTAGAGGGAACTCAAAGATTTTTTATTTTATTGACAAAATCGGTTGTGTCTTTAAGGTAGGCGCGATGTTGACATGCTAGAGGTAGTAAGAAATGATCAATGTATTCTGACACTGCATATGACTCACTACCACAGTCAGATATAATCGGGCGGCCTTTAGGGATTTTATTCGAGATAAACCACTCCTTGGTTGGATTCTTATGGATTTTAGGCAAAGTGTACAAATGTCTCTCGCGACAATCAGGTTTGGCAGACAGATAGTCATATTGTTTCTGAGATAACTAGTTTTGACTAAATCGGCAAGAATATTGTTAATCATGTTAGCAGTTTCTTTGAAAATTGGTTTCGGTAAAATGGCATAATGTTTAGGATTGTTCAGTTGATTCTCTGCTTCTGAAACGTAATCCTCCCTATTCAGAATGACACAACATGAACCTTTGTCACTCTTTTTAATAATAATGCTATCGTCTTTCTTAAGTAAGTTTAACGCTTCACGTTCCACTCGTGTCAGATTAGGCTTTTCGTGTGTTATGGAAAGGTTCACTATTTGGCTATTCATACTCGCAAATGCTTTCAATATTTCAGGATGGATGGCGGCCTGAGGGGGTGTCCACGTGGATTTAGGAATAAACATTGTTCTAGCACCACGTGGGGGTGGTTTCGAAAAAAATATGTGCAGCTAAGATTTCGTTGAAATCGTTCAATGGATGGTCGGAGATAATTCAAGTTAGCTATCTTTGGTGTGGGAATAAATTTAAGTCCACGGTCTAAGATTGAATGCTGAAGGGGTGTGAGAATTTTGCGGCTCAAGTTAACTACAGTTTGGCCTAGCGGTGGCCTCTCAGTATTTTTATCCCCAGTAATTAGTTTAAAGACGTACTCGATGCTTGAAGCTGGTGTATCCAAAACAAATAAATGCTGTTTGCTGTTTCTGGAGACCAATGAAGATTATCAACTGGTTCGAATTCTTCTTCGTAGGGTGGTAAGATTGTTGCGCTGTTGATACTGGACTCCATCATCATGTTGTTGAGAGTGCTGAGGTTCTGTTGTGCTTTCTTCGAGATTTTATTTGAAATGGGTATACATGTGAAGAGGATCTTGGAGTTTGGGAAGGTTTTGTTGTCTGTGGCGATTAATTTCTGGGCTTGGTTAAAGGAGGTCTTTGGTAGCTGATCACGGCTGTTGAAGCCTACATGAAGAATAATGGTAGTAGGTTTGGGATCATGGTCGTATGATTCCAGGATTGACTGTATGTGATGGATTTGGGCACCGGGGTAAGAATGTATTTCAGTGTCTGGACTGGTTTTGGTAATTCGATTCAGGTTAGATGATATAAAAATCAAGGTAGATTAGCGGGTAGCTTCTATAATGATTTGTCCTTGGTTTTGTGATAATACGGTTTGGTAGCGGATATAATGGTCGTCGACGGTGTGATTGGTACTGGTTTGGTAGTTGTTAGAATTGTAGCATTGGGAACGGACTGGGATCTCGTTCGAGGGGGGGAAGGTGTGGATGTACATCTCGACTTGGATGGAGACTGAGGGGTGGTTTGCTGGTCCAAAAACGCACAGAAGGAAGAAAGGTTGGCGAATCCTGGATCACGTGGTGAAGATTCAGATGGTGTGGAAGGGGAAGACGATTCTGAAAGTGAAAAGAGAAGGGGAGTGCCCTCTCTACGAGAGCGTTTACCTATGTCTGCTGGACTAGGAGTAGGTGAACTTCGGGCTCGTTTAGGGGTTTGGTTCGGCAGCGTCGTGGCTCTAGATGGTGCAGGTGATAGAGATATGGTTACTCTGGTTTTTGTTTCGTTGAT